AAAGACCTTATCCTCAATAAAATCCGCGATAACCAGACGCAGAAAAAAATGGGCGGAGTCTCATAGCTATTGTACCTTCTCCATAGGTCCTCTCTCTTTGATACGGTAGAGGAGAGGCGCAAGTGCAAATGAAGAAAACGGAGTGGTTATGGGTTTGTCCCGTCCACTGAGCATCGCGGAATGTGTTTCTAACATTCCCTAGGAATCCACGCCCATTTTGTCAGCTTTATGGGCATCTGCCCGTCGCATTTCGAAGCTTACAAATATGTGCACCTTGTACGAACCTTACTGCGCCATCTCTAATAGAAGCTGACTGAAATGTTTCTAAGACTTCTTGGTTGCCTGACATGGGACGAGTCAACATAGCCACTTGGACGAGTTTGCGTTTTCAGGTACAAGAACCAACATTCGCGAAATGCGTCCGCTCAACACTATCCACCGTGAAACAGTTCACGCTGAGCTCCTTCCGTAACATCCTGCCGAAGTTTGTCGACTGTACTGAAGAGATTGTTCTTGCCAAATGTGGCCAAACGCCCATCAATGTACGTCTACCCTCTCGACTATGTTCGGATGATAAGCAGTTAATAAATAAGTTTCAGGTACTTCGCGCCATGTCATCACCTGATATCTGCCCCGTTGGTCCCGCACCAATCGTTCCCGTCAACAGGACCCAAGTACCGCAACGTGTAGAGCCACAGGTTAGTTTTCTAGTGAGCATTTGGACGATTATCGATCGTATCGATTAGCCATCGAAATTTTTGTTCACAGCTTCCCACGTGCACACCGGAAAAACAAGTTGCGTACGATCAATGCACTCAACCATTCTATACACGGTACCGTATGCTACCGATAACGCTCATCAATGAGATGGAGAATATGGACCAGGTACATTACAGCGAATACGGTAATTGCACCTTAAGTTACAATAACCCTCTTAAGGTCTGTGCCGATGTGTCGATAATGGATGGTTGCTCGATTTCAACAAGAGTGTGCGCATCCGCCGAACAGATGGCGCTGAAGAAGATGATTGAGCAGTTATGTGCCAGTCGAGAGGCTTATGATCACTACAAGATCTGCTTGAAATCGGTGGCCAGCAGTCAAACAGTGGGTTATCTTTTCATTGAAAAGATTTCGTAGTCCAGTGAAGAGCTGCTACCGTAACCACTGGCCGTTGTAGGATCCCCTTCCATTCTTAGGCTTGGATGCGCACTGGCGCTTCGCGCAGGCTTGGGTCGTTGAGTTCCCTCGTTGGCGGCGTTCAGACCGATGCGTTGACGTGCTGCGACGCGTTTCAACGCGATATCTTTGCAATAGTGCTCCAGTGCTAGAAAGCAGCCATAGACCGATACCGATCGGGCGGGTCGCTAGCGTGTTGCGAGAGTATAGGAGAATAGGAGAGTACGCATAGCTTACTCGCACAGTCTGATACCTTCTTATCCTTCCTCTTGACTCTCCAGAACACTAGCGGCCAGACGTACCCTGCATTTCCCTTACAGAATCGAATTGCTGTTGGCGCG